GAGCTTGAGCGCATTGTCTGCGGCTGTCCGGTGAGGGATGCGTGGCTTGGTACTTCTTCTCTCTGATCCTGGCGCCTGCTACAGACCGACCATGTTTTCGACGTCTCAGGCCAGCAGCCCACTAATCCGGCTCCTGATCCCGATGCTGCAAGGCGATACTTTTTTGCTTTCAGCCCCTCCCTGGCGCTACATCACATCGCAGGTACTTCTCCCGGCGGTCCGACATGGATCCTGCAGATATGAGAGCAGCATATATAGGATTTGGAATTTCCGACTTGTATTTTTTCATTTTTGGTATTTTCCATTTTTAATTTGTTCAGAAACAATAAAAAATTTACATTTTTTATACTGTTCTTTGAATTGGCGTGTGGTTGGATAATATGCATTTATGTCAACTTTCAGCAGGTGTAGAATTTTGGGTTTTCAAAATAATATTTAATTTTTTTTATTTCCTTTTTCATTTTTTGGCGACCGATTTGCCGGACCGATTTGAAATACCAAAAAAAAATTTTTTGAAATTTAATAATTTTGAGACCCGATTTGCGACCGATTTTAAAAAATTTGCGACCGATATTCTGCGACGCAAAGTTGCGTAACCTAATTTCCAATTAAACCACGACCAAAATTTTGCGACCTGGCTTTTTCAATTTTTGGCGACGACCCTTATCGGTCTCTTAATTCCGAACCTGATTTTTTCTCATCGGTCGCAATTAACATTTGCGACCAGTGATTTTTAATGGCGACCTGACGTTTGTCGGTCCGCAAATCGGTCCCTCAAAAGTATACATAGCGACCGATTTTTGCCATATTTGCGACCGATTTGTCGTCGCAAAATGGCGGTTTTTTTTTGTGGTGTAATCTTTGTTTGTTTGCAATTATCGTTATACCGACCGACGTTTGTCGGTCGCAAATCGGTCTCAAAGTATACATAGCGACCGATTTTTGCCATTTTGCGACCGATTTGTCGGTCGCAAAATGGCGTTTTTTTTGTGGTGTATCTTGTTTGTTGACAATTATCGTTATACTTATTTACTATATCAAAATACTTTGACGTTTGAATTTTGCGGGCTTTTGTAATTTCAACCCTTTTTTTGAGCTTTCTATCAATCTTATTCTAATTTCGATCTTCTATAGCAAGTAATAGTACTCTTGAATACAAATTGAAGATGGAATTGCAAATGAAAGAACGATTATATCCTTTTTTAGATCATGTTATATTGATAAAAATTTAAAAATAGACAATCCATTAGTTTACTCAATTAATGTTGTACGGAATAAATTTTAATTTTTGAGATAAATTTGCTAACTAATAATTTCATAATATAAAATTTGTAACTCACTAAAAAAATTGTAAAGCATGGCTTAAAAATTAAATTGATAAAAATGTAAATTTTATTTATAATTTTTTATATTGTCTATATTTTAAGGATGAACATTCTAATTATTGTAATTTTTTAATTAATAACATATTACTTATTTAATAAAAAATAAATCAAAAAACTTGTTAACTATTTTAATTACACACGTCTTAAAAATCATATTTTTAAATTTGTAAAATATGTCACCCGGAATGTGAACATAATTTAATATTCAAAAGATATTTATAATTTTATTTTATTATTTTATTATTTTTATATAATGGGAGACTATAGGGTAATTTAAAAATTAAGTACCTCATAATAAGATTTAGACTTATAATAATCATATTTTAATTTAATAGCATTAAACCAAATTAGTTAGCCAGTTTTTTAAAAAAAAATTACGGTTTACAGGACACTAAAATTAAGTAAAAAATAAAGGTCGGATAGAAATACATTTTTATTTACCATAATGTTTATAGAAATACTATTCGTTGTAAAAAGTTAAAAATTAATAAAAAAAAAATTAAAATAGAGTAATAAAATTATCAAATTCCATAAAGTTTGCAGTATTCTATACATTTACTCTGCGCACAAGGGAAAGTGATATAGTATATTCTTCCTGATACTTGCAAGGATGGGTTATCAAAATTTATTGCCTTACTAGAATATGAGTTTTTAAAAATATTTTCGACGCGACAAAAGTAAAAAATAAAATATATTTAGTGAGAGTTGTCAAATGATATAAATATTACTTTTCTTTTTTTTTATCTTGCAATTCATATTTTATTTCAGTAAATTATAAAATTCAGAAAAAAAACTTATAAAACCCAAAATACTAAAAATGGTATCCGGCAAGTCCTCTTATACACCCAAAATTACAATTTGAATCTGATAGGAAACTTCAAACAACGGATCAAAACAAATATAGATATTTTCTTTTGAGATAGGAAGAGATAAGCTATAAAACAAAACTTATAAATACAAAAACAATGCCACTCTTATTTATTATAACTAAGCTAAAAAAAAAAAGGTAATCTGAATCCCTTTTTTAGCTCGACAATCTCTAAAATGATTGCTATTCATACTAACATGCCTGAACTTAATATGCCTCAATTGTGAGATGATCAAATCAAACTTAAAAACCATTTTATCACTTTTGAGGATATTTTTACTTCTGAAGAATCCAACACAAAGTATTTTTTGAATCTGATTCACTCACAAACCATTTAATTTGTAATTAGGTTCTCAAAAAACCTGAATTGCATTAAAAATGCTAGCAATTCCTCCTCAAAAATTTTTTTGGCTGTCTTCTCCACTGTATTTCACATTGCCATTTTCCATTCATAAAGAAGTCACAATTATTAACCCTTGCTTTTTTGTTTTGTGCTAGGCCAAACGGTCTTGGAAACAAAGTCTTCAAAGACGCTTCAAATAACTAGTAATCCAACCAGAAATCATATAAGAAAAATATTAAATAAATAACAAATAATAAATTTCAAATATTATTCACTTCAAAGAAACGAAACAAAATGGATGGAGTAATATTTGAAATGGTACTAAAATAACAATTTAATAATTACAATACGTGTCATTGTTCTATAATTTTTTTACGACAATTTATGTAATGTTCAGTTCATTAATATCTTGGAAACATTTTGCAATAATAAGAGTCCCCAAACCAAACCCTCAGATGAGCTTTCAGCCATACATTTCAATCTTTCTTTCCCACACATTTGAGAGTAAGTGTCATAACTAGGCCTAACCTAACACTTTCCTTGTTGAAAATAACTGATTCTTTGGTATTTTCTTTTGGTTGAGATGGATTTCATATTGTTTAGCCAAAAAACAGGAAGTTAATGCTCTGAAATCTTTCGTAGCATGGTTTTAAGTTTATTGTTTTCATTAGCTTTCTTTGGGGTTCTATTAGTTTCTATTCTTGCCTTTTTACCTCAAGAAGTGACTCTATGGATCTATTGGCTTGGGTTAAATTTTTGGATAAATCAAAATTTTCTTTGTTTTCTGATAAACAAATGAATTTACTGATTAAAAAAATATTGAAAATATTCTATTTATAAAATATTTAATATTTTCTTGATTTTAATAGAATCAAACTGAGTCAAGTTTGAATATTTTGAGTCAAAATTAATTATAAAAATTAAAATTTAATTGAATCCAAACTTATTTTAATTAATTATAAAATTGAACAAAATCAACATTACCAGTGTCTAATTCTCATATTTGTGTTTTCTTAAATATAAATGTGAGTTATTGTTACTCATATCTAGGATTATTGCTGCCAATATCTTAAGATCTTAGTTCTCAAATCTAATCATTTTGACCATTGTTGTTTATGATGATATATATGTTGATTTTGTTTATGATATGGGTAATTATAGGAAGAAATGTAGATCTCTTTTTTGATAAAATGAAGACATTTGAAAGTAATTAGATCGGATTTGTAGAAAGATCATAGAGTCGAATAATGGCCATGAAAAGACACCAAGTGGAGCGATCGATCATATGTTATATGTATTATACTCTATCAACTCGATCAAATACATCAAATTAAAATTATATTTTTATTATTATTTTCATAATTATTTCATTATTAGACTTCTTATAAAAAATATAGAAATATGTTAATTTTTAATCCATAACTGTATATGTTTTCTCTTAATAAAATTTTTCAAGTTGATTTTTTTTAAAAAAAGAAACTTATTTCAATTAAAACATATTAGAATCCCCTCCACACAATCCATATATGGTACGTTACATTAGTCTTAAATGTTCGTATTTGTAGGCTTTTCTATTATATTAAAAAAGAAAGGAAAAGAGCAATAAATAAGCATAAGCTTTAACGTCACTGTTATATATTGGCATCAGTATCACCAGCTCAATTGGAGTCACTCCAGCTGTCTACCTTCTTATTTTTTGTCTGGCAATATTTGGCCAATTAATCAAGTCATACCTATGTCCATAGTAGATAATATTATAAATTTTCCTCTAAAATAAAAAAAAAAAGGAAAATGAAATGGTTAACCTTAATTAGTTTAACAAATTAAATTCATATATATACTTAATACTACAATCTCCGACTTATTATGCACCCTGAATTTTGTAGATGACTTATTATGCACTTGAACTTATAAAATTTAGTAATATTATACACTTTTCGACACAAATATCAATATTTTTTTAGAGTTTTTGGCTTTAGAATATCGACTAATATACTTTTAAAATAATAATTTTCATAACTTTCAACTTTTTAATGAGTTTTTAATTAGTTTAATTTTGCAAGTTCAAATGTTCAATAAAATAAATTTGAAAATTAAAATATTTAATATGTATAATTTTATAAGTTCAAATGTTTAATAGGTCAAAGTAAAAGTTAATGGTGCCACAAGATTAAAGCAATAAATTTCAAGAGTGAATTTATGTATTCAGTCATACTATAATATAATAGTAACAAAGTAAGGATTGAATTAGGTGAGATCGACTACATGCTATGCAAATTTTACATGTAACTATGAAATTTAAATTGCAATTATTTAGAAAATTTACATAAATATTATCTCTAATTCGAGTATGGAGACCCGTGTGCAAATAAAAAGTTTATATATATAACATATTAACATAAAATTTTAAAAAAGGAAATAGTTATAATTAATCAGGATATATAACTAGTTAATACATTTGGCATGGAAATTGAGAAAGAAAGAGCAAACAGAGAGATAATACAGATTGCAAATCCCAAACCTTTTAAGGGTGCAAACAAGAACCCAAATCCCACCCAATTAATATTTATAATAGTAATAATACAAACTTTTTTAAAATTTCTTCTTAAATCCCCTTTCAGAGCTTAACTACTTCAGGAATATGAACTGGATACCTATCGATGCAATCAGCCCAAGGTCCATCAAGTGGTGTCTTAATGCTTCTATTACACTTCCAAACTGCACTGTTACACTTAAATCCACTCCCAAACGCTATTTGCCAAACCCTATCTCCTTTCTTCATCCTTCCTTTAGATTCAATGTAACTCAGCTCATACCAGAGCGAGGACGACGACGTATTCCCAAAACGGTGTAATGTCATTCTTGAAGCTTCAACGTGTTCTGTTGATAACTGCAAGTTCTTCTGCAATTCATCAATAACTGCCCGCCCTCCAGCATGAATACAGAAATGCTCAAAAGCTTGTTTGAAATCTGGAATGTAAGGTTTCCATTTCGGGTTAAATATTTTTCTTCCAATTAAAGTAAATAAAAACAAGATCTGTTCTGATGCCGGAAGAACTAACGGTCCGATTGTTGTGATGTTCGATTTTAAAGCCTCGCCTGCAATTGCCATTAAATCTTTGGATAAGTTAATACCAACTTTTCCTTCTTTATCTTCCTCTTCATATACACACCGATAAGCTTTATCATCGGCGCCTTTATGGGTCCTAACGACATGGACAAGCCGGTATTTAGCTCGCCACTGCTGAGAGCGGCGGTTAGATAATAAAATGGCAGCTCCGCCCATTCGGAAAAGACAATTTGGAAGAAGCATGGCTCTTTCATTTCCTTGATAGTAATTTGGTGTTATAATCTCTGTGCTAACAACAACTGCATTTGAATTTGGATGAACTTGAAGAAGATCGCGAGCTAAGTCTATAGAGATTAATCCTGCACTGCAACCCATGCCGGAAAGATTAAAGCTCTTTATATTGCTTCGAAGTTTGTATTTATTAATTATCATAGCAGAAAGAGATGGCGTCGGAGAAAATAAACTGCAATTGACTATTAGAATATCAATGTCTTTAGGTTTCAGCCCAGTTTTCTGGAAAAGTGAATCCATGGCGGAGAAGATAACGAGTTCTGCTTCACCTCTTGCAGCTTCCATAGTTGGTTTTGGAGGAATATAATGAATTGCAGGAGGTAAACAAGTTTCTTCACCGAGACCGGACCTTTCAAGAATTCTCATTTGAAATTCAACACTTTTTGGCTTATCTTTCAAGATTAGCCTTGAATGTTCCATGAAAGTAGAGAAAGGAACTCTACAAGTTACTGGAGGCTTATAACAGGCATAATCAACAAGAAAGATAGTTCTTGGCTTGGACATGAAATAAACAGTTGCTATAAAGATTATGAGAAAAGAAGAACACAGAATCTGAACAAGATCAAAATGAAGTGATTTCCAAAGATTCAAGATTTCATCTGGACCTAAACGGAGAACTTCAATGGAAATACCAACCATAACAGGAATTAACAGCAGATAAAGAATGTGATTAACAAGATACTGATAACCAAGCTTGACATACTTAAGCTTAACAGAGTTTGAGAAATCAGGCAAGATTTGAGGCATCTTTTGATTCTTGAGAGATAGAAAGAGAAAGAAAAAATGAGAGCTGAGATGTTATTAGGTGGTGAAAGAAAGGAGAAGATGGTGGAGATATAAAGGCAAACGGGACCGGGGGCAATGAAGGAGGCAGATGAGAAGATTAAATGAGAAAACACGTCACTCAACGCTCACTTAACTTGATATTAATTTTCTTTACTTTCTTTTCTTCCTTTCCAGTTGTAACTAAACACCCAACAATTACCAACTAGGGTTTTTGTTGTATCTGTCCATTTAGCTTCTGCTACACTATATTAATAAATCATGTCCTTTATTTTACTTTTAATTTCAATAAATAATAAATAAAATCATATACTAATAAATTAAAATACCTGGAAATATAAAAATGTCATGGTCCAATTCTCACCTAATTTTATAATAAAGATTAATTTTGTAATATATAGTTTTAATTAATTAATTAATTAAGTACTAATTAGGAAGTGATTTCTAAAAATGGACCTACCAGAGGGTTATTAATGCATGGAAGTTATAGCAAGCCGATAAAACTTGACCAGGTAACAAAACAAGGCAACTCTCTGAAGGGAGCATTCACACCCACCAAGCTTCGTGTAAGTGCAGAATATAGAAATTAGGAAATCGACAGAGGCAGCATTTGACTTCCCCAACTGCAACTCGACAAATTGATAGAATCAATTAAGGCACAAAAAGGAAATAAGAAAAGTCAAAGTATAACTCTCTTTTTCATTCTTTATTTTCTGTTTTTTTTTTTTCCCCTTTTTTTTGTGATGGAATGAGAACTTTAGAATGACATAATAATATAATTATAAAATTACAAATATTTATATTTGTAATTACAATTATATTTTTGGTTTCATGTTAAATACATAAGTAAAAACACATACCTAACTTGTCTCTTCACACTCTTTAAGCCTATGAAAATTAAGGTTCTAGTCAGTTGAATTTTCCGTTTAAGAATACAATTTTCAGGAGAAACATTGATAGGTACAGACATTACTTGTGGCTACAAATGGTGTCACACGACTGGTATATGTACTTTTTTTTTTTTTTTTTTCGTGTCACACGACTGGGGTATATGCTACTTTTTTTTTTTTTTTTTTAATTACTGCATATATTTTGTTGTGTATTATATATTTTTTAGTGTTATTGGAACGAATATTGGCTTGCACCTTGTGGATGAAACTTTAATTTCAGGATTTGTAAACTACCTTGTCTTATGAGTATTTTTTCTAAGGATCCAACCTTTGATCTTATAGTAATCAATTTTTTTTTTTTTTTTTTTTAATTACTGCATATATTTTGTTGTGTATATATATTTTTTAGTATTGTAACGAATATGCTTGCACCTTTTGTGGATGAAACTAATTTCAGGATTTGTAACTACCTTGTCTATGAGTATTTTTCTAAGGATCAAACCTTTGATCTTATAGTAATCAATTTTATCCAATAATTTCACTCATACTTACCATTTGAGCTACTTCTCGTGGGTATTTAAATATATTCTTCGATTATTATGTATTGCACGGACATCTATTTTATAAAAAAAATCTGTGCAAAACAGCTTAAATTGAATCTCATACTATTTTCAGCGTACAAGATTAAAATATCTAAAATGCCTTCAACAGGTTCATCTATGATATTTTTCAATGCATGGACATTTCTCAATTTAAATGCTCTTAATTGAATTTTCATTTTCCTCACACTTCGTTATTTTTCAATGCATAGACATTTTCTAATTTTTTCCACTAATGTTCGTGTAGAGAATATCTGTACGAAGTATTTTTCATGTCTTGTAACTTGGAGATTTTATTTTTGTAATGGAAGTCCAAGAGTAGTTGTTTGATTTCTAATGAATAAAATAATAAATTATTAGAGTCTAGATAGCCCATTCCAAGTAGTATATAAAAGCGAAATGTAATTTTCACCGATTACATAAATTGTCTTTTAAACTTTAATCGAATAATCTTGTGGCTCATTCAATTTTTAAAATGACTTTGTGGCTCCTTCAACATCAGTTTTTGTAATAATTACATACCTGGCATCGTTAGAAATCGAAGTTAGATTGCACACGCTTGAGGAAGAAAGTGAAGGTCTATGGAAGCATCCTACATGGCATTTTTTTATGCCACATTGCCATCTCCTTCAACTGTTCATCTCTCCTCTCCATTGTTCTTCTCCAAATATACCTCTCCATCTGAAATTCAAGAATGAAAACCAACGGACAAATATGCTTATTTTCCTCTATTTTTAATCAAATCCTTCTTCTCTATTTCTTTGCCATAAAATTTTCTGCATAACTCGATTAAACTCACACGCTTTTCCTTTTCTCAAATCAGAACCAAAGAAGGCAAATAAGATTTTGCTTTTAACACAATTGAGAGATCCACGTTATAGGCTTTTTTTTTTTTTTTTAAACAGAGCTGTCTTTGTGTTGATTTTATTATTATGTATATGGAATGAAAATATGCTAGCTCTCTTTTTCAATTGTTGTTCAAAAAAAATATATGTTTGATATTTAAAAATAAATAAATGATTTTCTTGAGAATGCAATAGATCGAGCTATGCTACTAATACTGTGGTACTGTTTACTGGCTTTATTTGAGTTCGGATGAATTTGATGCTTTGGATCTCAAGTTTTTATATTGTTTTTGCTCCATATTTTATGCATTCCTTTGTTGGATAGTCGTGATGGGGAGTTGATAAATGGTTGGTAACGTGCAAAACAGAGTTGTGAAATTGTTTAATTTCTTTCTCAAATCTCTTGTATTTATTTACATGAATGTTTATTTATTTTTTATTTTTTTTATTTGAATTTGTCCATACTTAGTCAAAGAAAAAATAAGTTTACACTTTAATTTTTTATTTTATTCATATTAAGTCTTACCTGGCAAAATTATCTACCATATGATTGTGTGATTGCCACGTCATTGCTGAGTGTAGAACACAATTCTTCTTTTAGTCTAATGAAGTGTGTAAATTACAAAAATTAATGTTAAAGGGGGCCACAAAGTCATTTTAAAAATTGAAGGGGCCACAAAGTTTTTTGAATAAAATTCAGGGGCAATTTATATATTTCTTCATATAACCTTTCCAAATTATGTTACTCCAAAGTGGAGATCATGACCACAATAAAAATAATAATAATAATAATAAAAAGCTTATAATTATTTTCATTATATTTTCTCATTATTAACATCATTGTTTAGATGCTACGTGAGGATCTTTATAATCCATCGTTTAATGGTATAAAATATTAAATTTTAAAAAACTATAATTATGTATTAAATTTAAAGAATTATTTTTCATATAATTGAAATATCTTAATACTCCATTTAGTATAAATAGATTCAAAATATGGAACTCATTTATAAACCTCGATTTTTATAGATGGAATTCAAAATGTGGAACTTAAAATTTTTAATTTTATAAATGAGTTCCACAAAATATTAATATTTAAAAAAAAGACTTCGATTTAAATTTTTTTTTTTAAAGTATAAGCTTAAAACAGTGAAACATGAACAAAAAAACTTGAACTTATGAAATTATGCTTGATATCCAAACCCAACCTATCCCGTTGTAAATCTATTAATTTTATACTAATTAACTAAAATTGCATATTTAATAACATTAAGATTTTTCTTGACAAAACAGCTCTAGAATAAAATAAAGAAAAATGAGTATGAGACATTTTTTTTGTCTTAATTTGTACAAATGACATACAAGCTGACATGGCTCCCAATCAAAAAAAAAAGTTTAATTAAATTTTTAGTGCAAAAAAATTGAAAAAATATTTTAATTTGGCCTCTTATTATGCAAAAATATGTTTTGGCCCCAAACTCTTTGACGTAGTCTGCTGCATATTTTGTTAAGTAAAATCTAAAAGATGTTTGAAGTGTAGGGGCGGCTAAGGGTGTGCCCCTCAGTTCTGCTTGCCTCGGCTCGTGATAGATGAAAGGTACAATACAACAAAATTGAGTTAAGGAATTAAAGAATCAAACCCAACTTACACCTAAAAGTAATTAATGTTATAACGATATATTTGAGACTGATCAAACGATTAAATTAGCAAACGATCAAAACTTTAGACTGCTTGTGATCTTCTGTGCTTTACGTAAGTATAAGCTATTCAACCAAATGTTAACATCTACTTTATAATTATGAGAAAACAATCAATCATCTTTTGACTTAGTATAATGTTTTTATATAGGGGCATTCATAAAATTGTTCAAACTGTTTAAAACAATTTAAATTAATCTAAAACGATTCAAAGCTGCGGTTTTGAAGAATTAATAGTTTGGTTTGATTTGTAAAATTTTAAAATCAAATTTTTAGTTTCAATTATAATTTTGAGGTTAAAACTGCCCAAATCAAATTAAACCGTTATATCTATTTGAACTTAAATGATATATAATTCAAAATTTTTGAATGAAAAGTTCTTTTTATTGATCAGTATAATTATCGCTGTCCGTTTGATATAAACAAATTCAAAATATCAAATTTATTTATAAATAAATTCTAGATAGAACTCATTTATAAATGAATTTGGATTTATAAAATGAACTACGAACTCCACAAAATTTTATGGAATTCATTTGTTCCGAATAAGAATAGAGATGGTTGATATAAATAAGAATTCATATTGAATTATTGTTTTCCATTAGGAAAGCTACAAACACAAATTTTATAAATAATAAATTTCACTTAAGATCTAAATCAATTATTATTATAATAATTTATTTTGTCAATGAAATCAATTTAATTGTATAGATAAATTGTAAAAGGAAAATTAAAACTACTGGAGACTTATTTATAAATAAGACAATTAACTTCTTAAACCCTATACATTGGGGCCCCACCGCCGCAGCATCAAACCAACTGCTTCCCTTTCTATTGCCAGCCTGATATTGACAGTGGGTTCCCGTGTGCGAGTTTTGTTAACCCTTATATATATGTGTTTGACTTTATATAAAAATTTAAAATTATAAGAAATAAATGCAGTCATTATTAATATATTTGATTTATGATAATAAATATAATACTTATGTAAGGTAGAGTTTATAAT